CGTTACTGCGCACGCGCGCGCAGGCCCCGCCTCCGGCTCCAGGGCCGCGCCGCGAGGCTTGCCGGGAGTGGGAGTTTTCCAACCGCCTCTGTTCAACTTCCGGCGGCGGGTGGGGAGGGAGGGAGGGAGAGAGTGGGGCGCGGGCGCGCGCCCGCCGACAAGCCCGCGTGTTCCCATCTCTGCCTCCGCCCCTTGTCGATCATTCTGGGTGTTCGGGCCCGATGACCTGGGGGGGGTCGCTGGGCCCCGCTGCTGCTGGCCTCGCGCTAGTTAACGCGATCCTAGCCACTCTGCAGGCTGGCTCGCCGAGGATCAGGGTTCGAGACCAGCCACGGCCAAATGGTCCTCTAGACACCATGTCTTAGGGAAGGTGGGGCCCCTGTTAGTGGAGCATCTGCCACGCGGGAGAGGCTCTGAGTTCAAATCCCCCACCCCCCAAAAGAGCCAGCTCTGACTGGTCTGTTTCTTTCTGCTTGCCTGTCGGTCTGTCAGCCAGTCTGTCTGTCTCAGTCACACCAGTTTTGTCAACACTGAGGGAACTGCTACCAAACATATGTAGACTACAAGCAGAACCCTCACTGTGCCAGGCTGGGCCGTCTGCCCGCCTCTCTGGCTGCGTGGGGGAACGGGTCACCCGTGTGGAGTCCTGTTCCCACGTTTGCCCGCACCCCTCCCACCACTCACCAGCAGCAGCCAGCCTGGCCCGGTGGAAGTGCACTCCCGCACAGCTCCTCCGGGCTCCTTAGGGCCCAGGCTCAGGGCAGCTTTCCCTGGACAAGGTCTCCCAACCCTTTGCTTTGCTCTGGCTGCTTCAGCTCCCCAGAGAGATCCCAGGGGCTGAACCCTTTGCCTTGAGATCTTCATTAGGAGGAATTGTGGCTCAAGTGGTAGAGCACCAGCCTTGAGCACAAAAGCTAAGGAATATGGAGGAGCAGGTGCACACACACAAAGATATCAATTGAGTGTCTTCACTCACACAGCGGCCATCACTCCCCACATTTCTTCTAGTCCCTTGCTCCTCTGTGGATGTTTCCTTCCAGGACTTTGAACTCTCTCCTGGAGACAGGTAAGGTGGTTGCCAGCGCGTGTGTAGGGGCATGCCTGCGCGCACCCGTGATGTTTTTACCCCGTGTTCTCTTCTGCCCCAGTTCTTCTAGGAAAACAAGCTTCTCAAACCATTTACTCAATAATTTTTTGTATGCATCCATTTACCTGTTGATGGCCATTTGGCTTATATCTATTGTTTGGTTGTTATGAATGATATTGCCACATCATTCCAAGAGGCAGAGGTGGGATCAGAAGTAGAGATTTGAAGATACTAAGCTGCTAGCTTGGAAGATGGAGAAACATCCCCAAGCAAAGTAACACAAGGAATATAGAAACCAAGAGGCCAGGAAAAGCATTCTGCCTGGAAGGAATAGGCCAAGCCAACACCTTGACATGAACATGGAGAAATTTCTCAAAATGTGGCTTCTCTGTTTCTTGAGATTGAATTCCTGTATAAAACTCCTTCTTCTCCTCTACCTTTTTCTTTTCTCCTCCTCCTCTCTTCCTCTTTTCTTGTGCCATAAATGAGTCTTGAACTCAGGGCCTCACACCTGCTAGGCTGATGCTCTCTACCACCTGACTCAATCCTCCAGTCCAAGATTCATTCTGAGTAGTTAATGGCCCTGCAGTCTAGGACATGCCTCAAAGTAGGTGATGCACAATTCATACAGCTCTGAAATGTAATTCTATGCATTTACTAGAAAGCCAAACAACTTAGGAAAAAAAGAGCCCCTCCCTCACAAGAAAAAGAAACAATTTTATAGGAAAGGCAACATGAAAAACACAGATGTAGCTCATAAACACATAAAATATGATCAGCTTCATTAGTAAACAAAGAAAGGAAAATTAAAATATTAATGAGTTACTTTTGTATGTGTGTTGGTCTTGGGGCTTGATCCCAGGCCCTGAGTGCTGACCCTGAGCTTTTTTGCTCAAGATTAGTGCTATTTGATCCCCAGCTCTACTTCTAGCTTTTTCCCCCACCTCCCTGGTAAATTGGAGATAAAAGAATCTCAAGGACTTTCCTTCTTGCCAAACAGGCAGGAAGTTTAAAAGTCTAAGAACATCAAATATTAGCAAGAAAGTAAAGCAAATGAAAAATTCCACATACTCCTGGGGAGAATAAAACCTGGGACCATCAATTTGGAAATAAAATATATTTGGAAATAAAATATATATTCTCCTTCCGTCCTCTTCCTTCTATTCCCCCTCCCCCCTTCTTTCTTCCTATCTTTTTCTTTGCAGTGTTAGGGTTCAGACCCAGTGCTTTGCACTGTGCCTGGCAGCAAGTGCTCCAACACAGTTCTGTCTGTTGCACTTGGTTTTTTGAGACAGTCTTGCTATGTATTCCAGGTTGGCCTCAAAATTCCAGGTTGTCCAGGCTAGTGTGGAACACACCATCTTCCTGCCTCAGGTTCTGTTGGGCTTGTGTCGCCACACCCAGCCTGTTCTTTAGTTCTTTTAACTAAATTTCAAAGTGACTGTCATTTACTCATTTCTAGTCTAGAAATACTTGGAAGCAAAGCTTGGTATCTTCCATCAAGTTACCTAAAATATGGAGGAAGGGGAGAGAATCTACAATTACTAAGTAGTTCTCTGGTCACCAACCTAGGAAGAGGTAGCAGGGAAGATTTAGTGAGGAGCAGTGGTCCAATTCCTGATCTGAGCACTGGAGGGTGCTGCAGCTGGATCTGAAGCCTGGAAGTCTAGGTCAGCTTCCAGACCAGGGGGAAGGAGAACAGTAAAAAGAAACAGGCACTGAGAGAAGGGGCTAGTCCCGCTGATCTGGATGCTTCCATTCGGGAAGTTTTGACCCACGTTTGCAGGTGGAGCCCAGATGAGGACAGGCCAATGATGATGAGGTGTGGTCAGAGTGAGTCAATATCCATAAGAACAGTTTACAGGGGGCAGAGTTTTGTTCTTCAGTCTTGTAAATAAAAGTCAGGGCAGGTGGTCAGCCAGGTGCTGCAGCCAGACTCAGATGTTTCCTTTCCTTCTCCAGGGTCTAAGGGCTGCTAATAATTAGCATGACATAGTCTTTAAAATCAAGGTGGTTTTTATTATAAAATTAAAAAACAATTCTGTAAAAGTCATGCGAATACTTTGTAAGTAGAAACACTTTGATAATGCACACAGAAGATTGTGAATTCGTACTTAATGACTTTTTTCTTCTGTCGGCCGTGGGGACTGAACTCTGGCTCTGGGCGCTGTCCCTCAGCTCAAGGCTAGTGCTTGAGGCACAGCGCCACATCCGGCTTTTTCTGCTTATGTGGTGCTGAGGAATCGAACCCAGGGGCCTCATGCATGCAAGGCAAGCACTCTACCACTGAGCCACCTTCCCAGCCCCTTGGAATTCGTACTTAAAAAAAAAAAATCTTCTTTGCAAAAGTTAAAGTCTTCAGAGCACCATTATTTGAATGGAAGATACTTTGCACTTCAGAGTTCATCTTTGGTCTGTAATTGAGAAGTAAAATATTTAAAACCAGAAAGAAGTTTTATACAATTAAAGAAAACTTATACCAGACAATGAATTATTTTCCCCCCAAATTGAAGGAATAAAGGGCAGGTTTCTGTTAGATGCTTTGAGAGCCCAGACCTATTTCCGGAGGATCAGAACAGGGGTAAAGATGGGGACCCCCAGGGGCTTGAGTTACCATAGGCCCTTGTGTTACAAACAGCGTCAGTAAGGGGCTAGAGTAGACAAAGAATAAGAAATCATTTGATTGTTAACACTGATGATGTACTACTTACTCATCAGTGACTTGGTGGTAAATCAGTTCTCAAAAAAAAAAGACAAAAATACAAATAAAACAACACAAATTCTGCTTTATATTGTGTGCTGACCATCATGGCATAAATGCCACTACCAGGCAAGTATCAAATGAGTTGTTCTAGCCACATCACTGCGGCTGAGAGGTAAGATACAATGATTTTCAAATCTTGCCTTCCCATCTCCGGTTATAATACCACAATTTTATGTTTATTCACTCAGGACATGATGACATTGCTTAAAATAATCTCAAAGAAAATATTCATACTCTTCCAACATACTATGTCTCTGTATACAAGCATATATCCAATCTGATCATGAGAAACTGGATTTAGCTTTGCTATAATTCAGATAAATGATTTTTGAGCAAAATTCTTCTTTGGACTCAGTTTTGCTAACCATAAAATAAAGACGATGACTTCATGACCTCCAGGGCCCCTTTTAGGTTCACAAGTTCATGTGTAGATTTGATTTTTATAAACAAAGTCATCAAGTACTAGTATTGAAAGATTACTTTAAAATGAATACTTTGATAACAAGAGTATTCACAGCTGATTTTCATCTCTATACTGGGAGGATAAATTCTGTAAATCTATCTCACGAGGAGGGGAGATGAGGGCAACAGATAATTCCTGGGAAAATCCAAATTGCTTTGTGATCTGAATCCTCACATTATTAGAGGCTTCCTTTAGCTTTGCCAGGGAACGACTTTGTCTTCTTACTGAACTGCATTTCAGCACTGTTTCTTGTTTAGTATCTTATTCATGCACTACATGTCTGGAGGTATCAGGAGGAACTCAACCATTTGTTGCCTGACTGAACGATCTACATTCATTCCACCTTAGTTCTTCTGCTGAGACTGGCCAACAGGTGACTTCTGTTACCTTTGTCCTGTGGCAGGTGCAAGGAAAGAGGTCGTCCTCCATCTGTGGTTCTACCCTCTTCATGCCCTCTCGGACTTGGGGCTCGCTCACTTGTAGGTTGGCATACTCCTATGAAGCAACAGTGAAAAGCATTCCTTATGCAAGTACACTCAGCAAATGAGACATATTGGAATTTACAAGTTCAAGGTGCATTGAACTGGGAGCTTCTGGGTCCTGTGTATCCAGTGAACTGTGAATAGCTGAATGGAAAATGGGATAAGCCTAACTCTCTCATCACTGGAATTTCTGGAGGGGATTTGAGCCTATGATTTGGCTGTATTACATAGTCATGTAACTTTTTTTTTTTTTGGGTCTGGTCATGGGCCTGAACTCTGGGCCTGGGTGCTGTCCCTCAGCTCTTCAGCTCAAGGCTAGTGCTCTACTACTTTAGCCATAGTGCCACTTTCGGCTTTTTTCTTTTTGCTTATGTGGTGCTGAGGAATGGAACCCAGGGCCTCACGCATGCAAGGCAAGCACTCTACCACTGAGCCACCTTCCCAGCCCAGTCATGTAACTTTTAAGTCATGTACGCTCCCTTAGGTGGCCTTGAGGCCATACTTGGCCAGATGCCACCTGTTTCCTGGGAGTATAAGCATGCACCACTGCTGGACAGTGTGCAGATGGGCCAACATATAGAGGGCTGCCGTGCTATGTGCTGCTACTACTGCTGAGTCTGTGAACAGGTGAGCCTTTAAATAAAACATACCAGCTATTCTTATTTGCCCCGCATTTTCTTTTCTTTTTTTTTTT